TAACATTTTGCGAGATTTTACTACAATGAGATAGCTATGAAATGATTTTAGAGTTGTGTAATATAATGTGCATGCATACACAATTTTCTTTCTTGAGATCGAGTTTAAGTGGGTTGGGAAAAATAATACTAGCTGGCCGGGGAGAATGTCTTGCAAAATTGTCTTTAGTAAAGCTAGTTGCCTAATGTGGTGTTGGAGGATAAGTGTAATGAGTTTTGTTGGCCTAGGAAAAGAGGTATAAGCTAAATGTTTAATTTGGATCTTATCAATGGAAATCAAGACAAAATCTTTTAGTAAGATAGAGTAATTAATTAAGTTAATAACTCAAACATTAAAGTTAACATTAACATGAGTGTGAGAGGATAATTGGGGTAGTTGGTTGCTATTGGTGGGTTATGCATGATTCTCAAGGAGAAGGGATTTGTAGATTTTAGTTTAAGTTGAGGTTTAAACTTTGGGCTATATATAATGGATTGGCTTTGAGTTGGGATCGATGATGTAGGGATGTGGAGTTTGAAAGTGACTCACTAGCTAGTTTCGGTGGATAAGATTTTCAGTGGTGGTAGTGTGGCAAACCACACGTGCATATTATTATTGGGGTTATTTGTTAGTTGTTACGGTGGAAATGTAGGTAAATGATATATTTGATTATTTAGTCTAATATGAAGTTTGTGTTTAGGAATGGAAAATATTATATTGTATTCATTATACCAAATGAACATATATATTGTTAGACTAAAGTATCACATGCATCATATAATACGTGATAATAGGATCGACTAACCTCCAGCCATAGTTTTTGATACGGTTGAGCGATCCGGACTGCTGCAGAGATAACGAGTATTTTGTCTCTCACTTTACTCAGCTCTCTCTAGATGGTGTATGAGGTATGTATTGTGAGCAGTGAGAGGACTAGTGACCTTATATAACCACTGGCCATCATTGTGGTTGATTGTCTTTAGGTCTCCTAAACCCTAACCAGACTCCTAATCATAATGGTAGTCTAGCTATTAGGTTATTAGTGTTGCACCACACATCAAATACTGAATATTATCATAACTTATCCTAATGTTATAATAATAGTAACGGATAAATGTTACATTCTCCCACTTGGTGCAAGCACTACCACTCAATAACAGAAATACACCAACCATAATGATATGTTCTCATTAGCGCGAGTAGCATCCATTATGATCAAATGCAAACTGTCATTGAGCACTTAATTAGGAAACAAAACCCAACGAAATAAACCCTATGTTTATTCCAAGTCCCTAAAGTACATTTTCTCATTAGTATAAAGTAAATGAAGGTGTACACACTTAATTGAGAAAACGTCTGAATGCCAAAGAATTTTATTAAAACTGAATGTATATATACAAATTACAAATTGGACGAAAGTCCCATTTTCTGAATCAGATCCTTGAACTTAAATGGTGGCATGCCTTTAGTCAAGGGATCTGCTAACATCAACTCAGTATGAATGTGTTCAACAAATACAACTTTATTGACACGCTCCCTAATTGCTAAGAACTTGATGTCGATGTGCTTAGTTCGACTTCCACTTTTGTTGTTCTTAGCTAGGAAGACTGTAGTTGAGTTGTCACAGTAGACTTTCAATGTCTTAGATATAGAATCCATAATTCTAAGCCCAGAGATAAAATTCTTTAGCCAAACACCCTGTGAAGTAGCCTCGAAATAGGAAACGAACTCGGCTTCCATGGTAGAAGTAGCTATTAAGGACTGTTTAACACTTCTCCATGAGATAGCCCCACCGGCCATAATGAAGACGCACCCTGAAGTTGATTTTCGAGAATCAACACAGCCAGCGAAATCCGCGTCTGAATAACCGACAAGATCTAAATTGTCCGTCTGCCTAAACCCAAGCTTGTAACCTTTGGTTCCTTTGAGATACCTTAGAACCTTCTTTACAGTTCCCCAATGGTCTAACCCCGGATTGTGTTGGTAACGCCCTAGCATTCCAACCGCAAAAGCAATATCCGGCCTCGTACAGACTTGAATATATCCAAGACATCCAACTGCTGCAGCATAAGGGATGTTCTCCATGGATTCCTTCTCCAAATCATTTTTCGGACATTGGTCCAAACTGAATTTATCCCCCTTAGATATGGGAGCAGCGTTTGGTGAACAGTTTTGCATATGAAATCTCTCTAAAACATTGTTTATATAGGTTTCTTGAGATAAACCCAGTATACCCCGGGACCTATCTCTCTGAATTTTAATGCCAATAACATAAGAGGCATCACCCATATCCTTCATATCAAAGTTCTTAGAAAGAAATTGTTTCACATCACGAAGCATCCCCTTATCATTGGTGGCAAGTAAGATGTCATCCACATATAAAACAAGAAAGCAAATTTTACTCCCACTCACCTTCTGGTATATATAGTTATCTGAGCGATTTTCAACAAAACCAAATGAAGAAATTACCCCATCGAATTTGATATACCATTGACGGGAGGCTTGTTTTAAACCGTATATAGATTTCTTAAGCTTACATACTAAATGCTCACCACCCCTAGAAGAGAAACCTTTAGGTTGTTTCATATAAACCTCCTATTCTAGATCACCATTTAGGAAAGCGGTTTTCACATCCATTTGTTGCAACTCAAGATTAAAATGTGCAACTAATGCCAGAATGACCCGAAGTGAATCTTTCTTTGATACAGGAGAAAATGTCTCCTTGTAATCAATTCCTTCTTTTTGAGTAAATCCCTTGGCAACAAGCCGGGCCTTGTATCTCTCAATGTTGCCTAATGAGTTTCTTTTAGTCTTAAAAACCCATTTACAGCCAATGGCCTTGGTCCCATTAGGCAACTAAACAAGATCCCAAACTCCATTGTCCTTCATGGAATTCATTTCATCTTTCATGGCTTCTAACCATAAGTCAGACTGTGCACAATTTGTGGCTTGAGAGAATGTTTCAGGATCATTTTCAGCCCCTATGTCAGATTCTTGTAGATACGAAACATAATAACTAGGAACTGCTGATCGCCTTATCCGAGTAGACCATCTTAAGGTTGGACCCTCATCACCTTGTACAGGCTGCGGGGCAACTACCTCTTCAGGAACTGGTGGCAGTTCTTGAATCGGTTCAGTCTGCATCGGCTCAGAATCTTGCTGTATATCCTGAGTTGGTTCAACCATTGGTTCGAAATCTAGTTCAGGCGGTTACTGTAAGTCCTGAACTGGTTCTTCCAAAGGCTGATCCTCAACAGTTTGTGGAATCTCAACGGTAGGTGGTATATCTGCAGGCCGAACTAAAGGAGCACTGCGGATAAGTACAACCCCACCAGATGACGTAGAAGGTCAAGAGCCAATATGATCGAAGGAAGGAACTAAGTCCTTAAACCGATCACTCCCACTAATCGAGTCATCTTCAAGAAATTTAGCATTCCTCGATTCCACTATCCTAGTAGTATGAGATGGACAATAGAACCTATAACCCTTAGAAGATTGTGCATATCCAATAAAGAAAGCACTAATCGTCCTTGGGTCAAGTTTCTTCTCGTGTGGGTTATATATCCTCACCTCAGACGGACATCCCCAAACACGCATATGTTGCAAACTCGGTTTCTAACCTTTGAATAACTCAAACGGTGTCTTAGGGACAGCCTTGGTTGGAACACGATTTAATATATACGTTGCCGTCTTAAGTGCTTCATCCCACAACGACTTAGGAAGCTTAGAGTTGCTAAGCATACTCCGCACCATATCCAGAAGGGTCCGGTTTCTTCTTTCAGCTACACCATTTTGGTCTGGAGAACCAGGAATGGTGTATTGGGCAACAATCCCATGCTCTTGAAGAAACTTAGCAAAGGGACCAGGTGTTTGTCCATTCTCAGTATATCTACAATAGTATTCACCACCCTTATCAGACCTAACTATGTGTATTTTCCTGTTACATTGGTTTTCAACTTTAGCTTTAAATGATTTAAAGGCATCCAATGCTTCATGTTTATGATGAAGTAAATACACATAGGAAAATCTTGAGAAGTCATAAATGAAGGTGATGAAATATTTCTGACCAGGTATTGTCATATCAAGACAACATATGTCAGTATGAATAATTTCCAACAACGTTGAACTTCTATTGGCACCTTTTTTTGACTTGTTTGTCTGCTTACCTTTAATGCAGTCAATGCAAGTCTCAAAGTCAGTATAGTCTAGAGTAGAAAGTACTCCATCCTTTACCAACCTTTTAATACGCCCAAGGGAGATATGACCTAATCTCCGATGCCACAACATTGAGAATTGTCGTTAATACTACACCGTTTGGTGCCGTTTTGAACATGTAAAGAATTGTAAACTGAATCATTCTTTAATTTAAGACGGAAAAAACCATTAGACATTGTACCAGTACCAACACAAGTAGAATAACGAAATAACTTGAAATCATTGGCATTAAATTCAAAAGAATAACCGAAGGGTACAAGTCTAGATACTGAAACTAAGTTCCTAGAAAAACTAGGAACATAAAAAGTCTTTTCTAACGTCAATACAAAGCCATTGTCCAAAACTAAATTGCAAACTCCGACAGCTTCTACTGGTGACGCAATCTTGTTTCCAGAGAAGATGCTACACTCAGTTCCCATTGGCTGTCTCAGTTTTGTCATATCCTGCAAAGAGTTTGCAATGTGGATTGTTGAACCAGAGTCAACCCACCAGGAATTAGTATTAACTTCTGACATGTTATATTCGAAACAAACGAAAGAAGATGAAATGTTACCTTTTTGGGACATCCATTTCTTGAACTTGATACAATCTTTCTTCATGTGTCCCTTCTTTTTGCAAAAGAAACACTTTTGTATCTTCTTAATGTCTGCTTTAGGGGTTAGTTTCCCCTTAGCAGTCATGGTAAGTCCCTTAGGTTTTCCAAACATTCTTTTAGGCCTTGTTGTGGCCATTAAAGCACTTTCCCCAAGCTCAGTTAAAAGCCGTGTTTCCTCTTGAGTACACATGGTAATCAATTGATTGATAGATCATTCATCCTTATGTGTATTATAGGAAATTTTAAACGCGCTATATTCCTGAGATAGGGTATTTAGTGCGAAGTGCACCACAAAGGCATCTGGAAGAATAATTTTCAACTTCTTCAATTGAGCCGCAATGTCCCTGAGCTGTAAGATGTGTTTTCGCGTTCCCTTGATAGTGGAAAGACGCGTATTGATAAACTGCATTATCAGGGTACTTGCCAGAGATTTGTTCGCGTCAGCAAATTGATCATCGATGGCCTTGAGTAATGGCTCAATGTCCTCAATATCATCGACGGGACCACGAATCTCTCTGGCAATTTTAGACTTAATGAGGAATACGCCTAAGCGATTGGTTGTTGCCCATCGCTCGTATAGCGTTTTTTGTTCCTCAGTGTTTTTCGCAGTAAGCTCAGCAAGCTTCTCAATGCGAAGAGCATAATCAAACCCTAATATTCCTAAATTCAATAGAATAGCGTCTTTCCACTCTTTGTGATTATCATCATTAAGGATAGGAATATCAATAATTATTGATTGAGTGATTGGAAGAGTGACTGTAAAAGAAAATTGAAAGCTTGGTTAGAATTTTTTTCGAGGCACAAAATTAGAGAGAGATACTGAAATACATAATATTACCAATGTAAAATTATGCAAAAGATAAATTCGGATGCCATAAAAATTGCCTGTGGGCTAAATTTTTACGCATAATGAATTTACCAAAACTGAATGGTGGAAACGGAATGGGTGCGATTTTAAATTTTCCACCCTTAATGGCAAAACTACCAAAACTATAAGCCGATACATAATCCCTGTGGGCAAATTATGATCATAGTATGGTATTTCATCCTAATTAACCCTACAAATATAACAAAATTGCCTGTGGGCTAAATTTTGTCATATCACGCAGAGTGAATTACAATATTCTTGCATTAACTTTATGTGAGTAAAACTCAATATGTAATTTTGGAAAAATTAAAGATGATGTGGCTACTCTTTAATTAACCAAAAAACATAATCACATTAGCAAGAAAACCTAAAAAACAAACAGATTAAACCAAAATATGATAGACAATCCTTAGGTATACTCTTAGGAAAGTTGGTCGAGACGAAGTTCGGTTAAAAACCAACTCCTTAGACAGAGTAGCGTCGCAAGGGGACTAATAGCAACAAGGCTTTTAAGCCAGGGCCATAGAACTAGTATTCCTCCCCAAGAAACTTCCCTAATTCATGTGTTCTCATTTTTGAAGTAAAATCGTTTGAGAGATCTAAAGAGTAGTTTCACCTATGGATAAGGCTTTGAATAGGGTAAACTACGAAGAATTGTTTATGTACTTTATGTGCTTTAGGAACTTTATAAGAGCACGAGTGGAGTAATGACTGAAGATTGAGTAATAATATGCATAATCTAACCTGAAAGGCACTAATTCACCTAAAATGCACTAAATCATGCATAGCATATAATTTAGACCTAAAAGGCTCTAAATTTTTCTTAATGAACATGCTTTTCTACAGGCATAATTATAACAGTCAAATAATTATTGCAATAAAGAGATAAATAGCATGCTCAGATTATGCATATTACTCACAAAATACTCCACAATTAAATTGTAACACTTAATACAATTTAATCTGAAACATTATTAAATTATAATTCAACTGAAAAATTAAAACTGAATAATTATTCAAAGTTGAATAATAATTTAATAATAGACTTAATAAAAAAAATTCAATTGGATAATTTAATTAGAAGAAGTCCAAATACGATGAAGATGTAAATCTGAATGAATTGTCCAAATATCAATTCAGGTTTGACCCAAAACCATAACAGGCCAAGATTTAATTAAAAAAAAGAATTTTTTTTTTATGATGAGCCCAAGTCTGGCCCAATTGGGCCAGACCTGGCCCATTTAGCTTAGCTTCATTCATCATCTTCTTCGTGTAAAAGCTACAGCAGTAGACCATGGACACCAGTGACGAATAGATGAGCAGAAGCAATTGCCGCCGGCATCGTCTGAAAGGAGTGAAGGCAGTGCATCGTCGCTGGAAAAAAAAACCCAGCTCCACTGCTGCCATCCAACCTCGACGCAACGCCGATGCCACTGCCAGCTGTTCGTAGCTGCATCGCGAAACCGCTGCCTTTTGCGTCACCGTCCGTCTCCATCACCGGAACCCTGTTCTTGATGGCAACTGAAAGGACAGGACGACCAGAACCAAATTTATTGTTTGTTCGTTGATGAATCGTCGTCTCCAACCATGAACAAAGGGCCGACGATGTACTGAAGACCGGCGAAGCAGAAAATATTATCCAATTTTAATTTTTTTGTTTTTAATACTTAATGCGAAAAAGAAAACACCAAATTTCCAGCAACCCAGATAATTTAATTGCGAACTCAAGAATATTCACATAATCTCAATTATATAACAAAGTATATAAAATATGCAAATATTTAAGCAATTAAAAAAAACTAGGTAGAGATTATTTATGGCGACTGATACCAACTGTTAGACTAAAGTATCACATGCATCATATAATACGTGATAATAGGATCGACTAACCTCCAACCATAGTTATTGATACGGTTGAGCGATCCGGACTGCAGCAGAGATAACGAGTATTTTGTCTCTCACTTTACTCAGCTCTCTCTAGATGGTGTATGAGGTATGTATTGTGAGCAGTGAGAGAACTAGTGACCTTATATAACCACTGGCCATCATGTGAATTTATACAATCTTGCGTGGACATTGATTAGTGAATATTCACTTTTAATTTTGATTTTGATTCCATGTTCAAATTAAATGCTTCTTAATATTTTTAATTCATGCATTATTTAAGTCTTAACTAGAAGTGGAGAGTGATTTCATATTGGCAATCCAAAGAATTCGTGGATCTAGTGATCATTACATGTATGCAACCAATTAATTAATTGGAGCCACATTGGAGAAGTTCAAATGAAGAATTGATCTTGTACTTTTGTACACATGCATATAAAAAGTAATAAGTGTGTCAATTGGCTTATGGATAACAACAAACTTCTTCTTAGTGTGTTTGGAAAACATTTTAATTTTTAGAAAATATTTTCTTTTTCAATGTTTGATTGCATTTTAGAAAATTATCTCGATATGTTTGGTTCATTTTTCAGAAAATGAACAAAATTATAAAAATTAAGTATTTTAATTGTTTCGTTTAAAATATAACAACATTTATTATAATTTAATAATAATTATAATAATAATAATAATAATTGCTTCTAACAACATTCACACCTCGATCAACAATATCCATTCACAAATTGCTTATTGTTATGTGAATTTATATAATCTTGCGTGGACATAGATCATAATACAAATTAAACTCTACAATTAAGAAGATAGAAGAGAGAGAAGGAAAAGTAAAATGATAATTGATATAGATCATAATACAAATTAAACTCTACAATTAAGAAGATAGAAGAGAGAGAAGGAAAAGTAAAACGATAATTGATATTGCTTAGGGAAATATACGTGAATCTTCTTATTAATTCCATCATCAACAAACTTTACATTTACAATATATATATATATATATATATATATATATATATATATATATATATATATATATAACAAATACTTCCTATCAATTAGGAAGTGTAACTACCTCTGAAGCATAATGGCAACAGACTTGGCCACAGACTAAGTCTTCATAACACTCCTCCTTGGATATTATCTTCTCTTGATCATGCCTCGTTAAAAACCTTGCTAGGAAAAACCCTATGGGAAAAAACCTAGTCAAGGAAAAGAGTACATGATGTATGTATAGTCATGTGTTATACAAAGTTGCCTCATTAAAAACCTTAGACTAAGAAAACTCAGTGGGACTTAGCTAAGGAAAAGAGTACAATCATAAACTAAACATAAACTTCTGGGCATAATCTTATTGACGTCACTATACTAAAATCATGCCTCATTAAAAACCTCACAAAAAAAAAAAAAAAAAAAAAAAAAAAAAAAAACCTAGTGTGAAAAACTAGTTGAGGAAAAGAGTACATAATATGTGTATTCATGTATTGCGCTAGCTGCCTCATTACAAAACCTTTAATTAAGAAAATAATATCAAAAACTTAATTAGAGGAAAAAGAGTACATTGGTCTTCAAGACCTAATCTTCCGGATTGATTTAAGTATAATCTTCAGGATTGATTCAAGTCTGATCTTCAGGATTGATTCAAATGAATGACACTCCCCCTGAAGATAACAATCTTCAAAATCTACACGTTCTAATATAAAGAAAACATTGTTCCAAAATAAGTGTAGAAAAGAAATATGGTACATTTTTCAAGATTGTCACTAGAGTGAATTATTCTGTAAAACATCTTCGTGGCTCTTCTAGAGCTAACATGAGTTGCATTTTGACACTATATATACTTTGTTGAGTATTCATAAACATTCACATTTATCATTTGTACAACATATTGACTGAGATAATAAACAAGCATAATAATACTCAGTCAATAAGACCATTGAAAATTTAATACCATACATGCTACAATTTTCATTTTCTCATTTCGGGGATTATAAATCCATCGGGAATTTCTATAAATATTAACTGCACATTTATTATTATTCTGCCAATGGTATTATATAGCAGAACTTAATGCCACTTATCGTGGGAGAGTATATTTGATTAGAATCAAAGGGTCTCTGCGTGAACCCATAAGCTACAAACTCGCTTTACATCATATCACCCCATTATTCTTATTTCTCTTTCGTGCATACACTCATTTGTAACCTTCAAGGATAACGCTCAAAGGTGTATTATTATAAAGAGAATACATTCATTTTAGCGAGTCGAGCTATGCCTTAATTGCTCCTTTATATGTTAAATAGTCATGACACTTCTGGTGCCTAACTCTAGATCCAGATTATCATAAAATGAGCAATTTGTAAAGGCAATTGTGTTGTCGACAACTATAATATTTTATCATAATTTTCTCCCATATTAATAGGATTCATGCATGGAAATTTCTAAATCAACCAGATTATTGTCATTTCCCAAAGACATTTAGATCTGGCCGTTCCGCATTTCTACTATTATATTTGTTTGGTGCACCTATAATTTTACTAGGGTTTTTCTTCATCTGAGCGAATGTCTACGGGACATGATTATTCAAGGTATTTTCAAGAGTGACAATGTTTCTTTACTAGATCTAGTATTATGATTCTTATCACTTACACCGATAGATCTCCTGCACTTCTAGTGTCAAGGATTATCAGTAGATATATTTGGTCCAAGTTAGGGAAGGTGCATGGGACATTGTCACTCTTTTATGATCAATAGATATATTTGGCAAATCGGTTATCTCCTGAACTTCCAGTTCAGTATAACTAGTACGTGTATTTAAATAATGATTTCATTTTATGAAATTTCTCGGCATTCCATTCCCCTATATTTGGACTCTTATAATGGGCTATTGGCTTTTAGCCAACAGACAGAGGTTCATTTGATAGCCCTTTTAGAGGTATGCTATGGTGGTGATATAAGCAATCCTACAGGGATTGATGGATAGGTAGACCATTTTTATCAAAAAATCATTATTAAGGTCCATTCTAACGGGTGACTAAGAGAATTAAAACCCTCAGTCTACCGTCTGGGCAAATATATATCCTCAAAATTGAGAGCTATAATCAGTGCTATGAATTTGTCTTCTAGCAGGATGTAATATTTATGGCCTATTGCAAATAATTGTTATGCCACATTTTCTATTATTATATACACATAGCCACATTTTATAAGAAAACAAATCGTGACAAAAGTAATTGTCATGTGTTAACCAACACACTCACTGAACAATGTATGCAAGTGTGTCACAACATTATCGGGCCGTTTACTAACTGAAAATTTCCAAAAATTTTCGGAAACTGGAAAATAGAAAACAGAAAACATGTTTACTAACACAGTTTTCTATTTTGAAAACTGAAAATAATTTCTGGAAATTTATGAAAAACTGAAACACACTTAAAAACTGTTTTCGAAATGGAAAACAGAATCATCTATCATCTATTTAGTTATATGTCAGTATAACCACATTACTATGATTACATTCATTATCATCTTATTTTACTTATCACCATCTTCTATCTTTTCTACTTACTTGACTTATTTAAACATAATTTATTTGCTTACACTTTAAAGTTAGACATTATTTACACTATCAAAATTAAGAATTAAACTCTATATAATGTTTTAGATTTTGATTGAACTCAATAGATTATTAGTTTGAATATTTTTAATTATGTTACATTATAATACAAGTTCGGTCTAGATATCGAATATTGAAATCTCACATATATTAGAATTCAAAGTAAAAGTTATATATTCATATACATGTCATTCAAATGAATACATCCAAAAAAATATTTTAAATATTAGCTCAAAAAATATTAATATTATCTCAACTAAATTTTAGGTGAAAACTGAAAAATAAGAAAACAGAAAACAGAGAACAGTTTTTTGTTAGTAAACAAGTTTTCTAAATAGAAAACAGAGAATGAAAAACAGAGAATGAAAACTGAAAATTAGAAAACAGAAAACAAAAAACAGTTTTCTGTTAGTAAACGGACCCAATATATTTCAATTAAGCTCTCAAATTCTAGGCATCCAGTGGATTCAAATGCACATGACATAATTATAGTTTAGATTATCACAGTTTGAAAATATGCCCAGAACAGATATCTTCATAGCATTTAAATGAATATATCAATAAAATGATTTGAGAATAAAATTAAATATTCAGAAGGTAGATAGCCATCATGAATTAAAACATATTCATGTCCAAAAGGGATTAGAAAACTACTAATAAAATATTTGTAATGTTGGATATCTCGTTGGTAAAATCGAATAATAACCCCACAAAAATAAGGATTATTATTTTCTGTAGAAAAAAGGGAAGGAAAGATGATGAGATATGCTCGTGTTTGGTGTAGGGTTTTTAGCAAGAGTCAAGCGATCACTCTTTCCTTAAAACCTTATTTGATACCGCCCACAAGTGCTAGGAGCATTGTAGCCTAGGCTTCCCAGGATAAAACTTGCTACTCTCCAGTGTATGAGCACCCAAACTAGGAATCCGGCGAACTAGAGCAACGGGATGAACACAATTAGGCTAAGAAGAGAGTAGAAGCAGAGAGTTTTGAGGCTGGAAAATATGATTTTCTACATTATAAAAATCTGCTGCTCTATCCTCTCTTATATAGGGGTGAAGGAATTCAATAGCATTCAAAAATGACTTTAAAACACCCATGTAACAGCACCATTAACCTGAGAATTAATTCTGTAATTGGAACTGTACAGGCATGTACCTGTACCGTTCCGAAAACGGTGGACGTTATTGCACCGGTACGTACCGCTCGGACGACTTCGGCGCAACGTAACGTTTGATTCGCACCCCCCCCCCCCCCCCGCGCGCGAGAAAAAACCTCTATGCTATACAATTTAATAAGCCTAAAAAGAGCTCTTGTGTAAATAGTAGGGCAAATCCTCTTTCCAAACCAATGTGGGACAAAAGCTTCACTTTTTCCCTTCATTTTTCCA